TTTGTGCACTTTTCTCGATGCGCATTCATGTCCTCGAACTGTAGTACGTATTTTCATGATTGCTTTTGGAATCCAATTTTGACCATGTTCGAGTCCGAAATTGGATTTTTCACTTCAAAGAGGAATTGTAGCCAGCTGATATAGCTTTCTAATGCTGTCGGAACCAGTTGATTTGGATTCCGGATGAGAAAGTTATGCTCAATTTGGTGGACGTACACTACAAAGGATGTGGAGGGATTCTATCTTCTAATTCGATTTGATTTTCTTAATGGCAACTCTTTTATTTATCTTTGATCATGTTTGCTTCACGGACACCTTATTTTCGATTTGTACCTATAAGATACCAAATCCACCAATTCAATCGGAAAATAATTTAGTCGAAAAAAAAATCCACGTAAACGAAAACGTAGAGTTCTATTTTTACACTCCACTGTCTCTATTTGATCTAGTGTTTTTGCTGTTGTTTGTTGATGCGTATTAAAGTCCTAGTATTGTAGTTGGTGTTTTGAAGAACGTTGTTGCGAATGCACTTTTGCGCATGTTTTTTTACATGTACGTTTGTGCATGTCCATTTGAGCGAGTGTGCTTGTGCATGTTTGTTGATTGGTATTAATGTCCTAGGATTGTAGTTTGTGTTTTCATGATCTTTTTTGAGAATGCACTTTTGCGTGAGTACTTTTCTGCATGCCTTTGTATACTTACTTATGTGCGTATCTTTCTAGCGACAGTTTTTGTGCACTTTTCTCGATGCGCATTCATGTCCTCGAACTGTAGTACGTATTTTCATGATTGCTTTTGGAATCCAATTTTGACCATGTTCGAGTCCGAAATTGGATTTTTCACGTCAGACAGGAATTGTAGCCAGCTGATATAGCTTTCTAATGCCGTCGGAACCAGTTGATTTGGAGTCCGGATGAGAAAGTTATGCTCGACTTCGTGGACGTACACTACAAAAGATGTTGAGGGATTCTATCTTCTAATTTGATTTTATTTTCCTAATTGCAACTCTTTTCTTTCTCTTTGATCATTTTTGCTTCATGGACACCTAATTTTCGATTTGTACCTATAAGATACCAAATCCACCAATTCAAACAGAAAATAAATTAGTCGAAAAAAAAATCCACGTAAACGAAAACGTAGAGTTCTATTTCTACACTCCACTGTATCTATTTGATCTAGTGTTTTTGCTGTTGTTTGTTGATGCGTATTAAAGTCCTAGTATTGTAGTTCGTGTTTTGAAGAACGTTGTTGCGAATGCACTTTTGCGCATGTTTTTTTACATGTACGTTTGTGCATGTCCATTTGAGCGAGTGTGCTTGTGCATGTTTGTTGATTGGTATTAATGTCCTAGGATTGTAGTTTGTGTTTTCATGATCTTTTTTGAGAATGCACTTTTGCGTGAGTACTTTTCTGCATGCCTTTGTATACTTACTTATGTGCGTATCTTTCTAGCGACAGTTTTTGTGCACGTTTCTCGATGCGCATTCTTGTCCTCGAACTGTAGTACGTATTTTCATGATTGCTTTTGGAATCCAATTTTGACCATGTTCGAGTCCGAAATTGGATTTTTCACGTCAGACAGGAATTGTAGCCAGCTGATATAGCTTTCTAATGCCGTCGGAACCAGTTGATTTGGAGTCCTGATGAGAAAGTTATGCTCGACTTCGTGGACGTACACTACCAAAGATGTTGAGGGATTCTCTCTTCTTATTTGATTTTATTTTCCTAATTGCAACTCTTTTCTTTCTCTTTGATCATTTTTGCTTCCTGGACACCTAATTTTCGATTTGTACCTATAAGATACTAAATCCACCAATTCAAACAGAAAATAAATTAATCCAAAAAAAAAATCCAGGTAAACGAAAACGTAGAGTTTTATTTCTACACTCCACTGTATGTATTTGATCTAGTGTTTTTGCTGTTGTTTGTTGATGCGTATTAAAGTCCTAGTATTGTAGTTCGTGTTTTGAAGAACGTTGTTGCGAATGCACTTTTGCGCATGTTTTTATACATGTACGTTTGTGCATGTCCATTTGAGCGAGTTTGCTTGTGCATGTTTGTTGATTCGTATTAATGTCCTAGGATTGTAGTTTGTGTTTTCATGATCTTTTTTGAGAATGCACTTTTGCGTGAGTACTTTTGTGCATGCCTTTGTATACGTACTTATGTGCGTATCTTTCTAGCGACATTTTTTGTGCACGTTTCTCGATGCGCATTCTTGTCCTCGAACTGTAGTACGTATTTTCATGATTGCTTTTGGAATCCAATTTTGACCATGTTCGAGTCCGAATTTGGATTTTTCACGTTAGACAGGAATTGTAGCCAGCTGAAATACCTTTCTAATGCCGCCGGAACCAAGTGATTTGGAGTCCTCATGAGAAAGTTATGCTCGACTTCGTGGACGTACACTACCAAAGATGTTGAGGGATTCTCTCTTCTTATTTGATTTTATTTTCCTAATTGCAACTCTTTTCTTTCTCTTTGATCATTTTTGCTTCCTGGACACCTAATTTTCGATTTGTACCTATAAGATACGAAATCCACCAATTCAAACAGAAAATAAATTAATCCAAAAAAAAAATCCACGTAAACGAAAACGTAGAGTTCTATTTCTACACTCCACTGTATCTATTTGATCTAGTGTTTTTGCTGTTGTTTGTTGATGCGTATTAAAGTCCTAGTATTGTAGTTCGTGTTTTGAAGAACGTTGTTGCGAATGCACTTTTGCGCATGTTTTTTTACATGTACGTTTGTGCATGTCCATTTGAGCGAGTGTGCTTGTGCATGTTTGTTGATTGGTATTAATGTCCTAGGATTGTAGTTTGTGTTTTCATGATCCTTTTTGCGAATGCACTTTTGCGTGAGTACTTTTTTGCATGTCTTTGTATACTTACTTATGTGCGTATCTTTCTAACGAGAGTTTTTGTGCACGTTTCTCGATGCGCATTCATGTCCTCGAACTGTAGTACGTATTTTCATGATTGCTTTTGGAATCCAATTTTGACCATGTTCGAGTCCGAAATTGGATTTTTCACGTCAGACAGGAATTGTAGCCAGCTGATATAGCTTTCTAATGCCGTCGGAACCAGTTGATTTGGAGTCCGGATGAGAAAGTTATGCTCGACTTCGTGGACGTACACTACCAAAGATGTTGAGGGATTCTCTCTTATAATTTGATTTTATTTTCCTAATTGCAACTCTTTTCTTTCTCTTTGATCATTTTTGCTTCCTGGACACCTAATTTTCGATTTGTACCTATAAGATACTAAATCCACCAATTCAAACAGAAAATAAATTAATCCAAAAAAAAAATCCACGTAAACGAAAACGTAGAGTTTTATTTCTACACTCCACTGTATGTATTTGATCTAGTGTTTTCGCTGTTGTTTGTTGATGCGTATTAAAGTCCTAGTATTGTAGTTCGTGTTTTGAAGAACGTTGTTGCGAATGCACTTTTGCGCATGTTTTTATACATGTACGTTTGTGCATGTCCATTTGAGCGAGTTTGCTTGTGCATGTTTGTTGATTGGTATTAATGTCCTAGGATTGTAGTTTGTGTTTTCATGATCTTTTTTGAGAATGCACTTTTGCGTGAGTACTTTTGTGCATGCCTTTGTATACTTACTTATGTCTGTATCTTTCTAGCGAGAGTTTTTGTGCACGTTTCTTGACGCGCGTTCATGTCCTCAAACTGTAGTACGTATTTTCATGATCGCTTTTGGAATCCAATTTTGACCATGTTCGAGTCCGAATTTGGATTTTTCACGTTAGACAGGAATTGAAGCCAGCTAAAATTGCTTTCTAATGCCGCCGAAACCAGTTGATTTGGAGTCCGGATGAGAAAGTTATGCTCGACTTCGTGGACGTACACTACCAAAGATGTTGAGGGATTCTCTCTTCTAATTTGATTTTATTTTCCTAATTGCAACTCTTTTCTTTCTCTTTGATCATTTTTGCTTGCTGGACACCTAATTTTCGATTTATACCTATAAGATACCAAATCCACCAATTCAAACAGAAAATAAATTAATCCAAAAATAAAATCCACTTAAACGTAAACGTAGATTTTTATTTCTACACTCCACTGTATCTATTTGATCTAGTGTTTTTGCTGTTGTTTGTTGATGCGTATTAAAGTCCTAGTATTATAGTTCGTGTTTATAAGAACGTTGTTGCGAATGCACTTTTGCGCATGTTTTTTTACATGTACGTTTGTGCATGTCCATTTGAGCGAGTGTGCATGTGCATGTTTGTTGATTTGTATTAATGTCCTAGGATTGTAGTTTGTGTTTTCATGATCCTTTTTGCGAATGCACTTTTGTGTGAGTACTTTTGTGCATGCCTTTGTATACTTACTTATGTGCGTATCTTTCTAGCGAGAGTTTTTGTGCACGTTTCTTGACGCGTATTCATGTCCTCAAACTGTAGTACGTATTTTCATGATCGCTTTTGGAATCCAATTTTGACCATGTTCGAGTCCGAATTTGGATTTTTCACGTTAGACAGGAATTTTTTTTTTTTTTTTTTTTTTTCAAGAGAACGACACCCGATGAGGGTGGGGGGTTAGTCTTGACCCCCTACCTGTTTATAAAACAAAATTTAAGAAGTACATAATGAGTTTCGCTCAAATTGCTACTGCCCAACATATGGCTAATAATAGCAATTGACAAACAAAAGACAATAGGTAACTAACAAAACGTTAAGAAAACGGGCAAAACAGGTGGCCCAAATAATAAAAAGGACGGGGTGGGAATGATCATAGAAGGTCGGGGAAGACCAAGGTAGACCGTTCGCCTCACCACAACAGCCGAGGCCACTTACACTTTCGCCAAAAATGGGCGAAACAGGTATAACGGCTGCGAAATGTGTGGCACCATTCGGCAAACAGTCTAGTCTTGATAGACCCAAACAATCCATAATCACCCCAACCCTTCCTAACATGTAAAGTTCACGAAAATTCCTAAATTGCCAATAATATAAAAACGTGGAATGCATGGCACCTATGTGCGAGACTGTCGTCGAAAGGATGGATATCCAAGCTGGTCCATCCGAATCATCTGCTGAATAGGTCGGGGAAGTTCCGCTGTTGTGAAGGTACGAGCCAACTCGGTCTGACACCCCAAGTTAGCTAATGCATCAGCTACTTTATTGCCCTCCCGGTAGATATGTGTAATCCTGTACTCCAAAGTAGAAAGAGAGTTCCGGATCGCCGTGAGAGAACTCTGAAGACTCCAATGATCTTGGTCCGTGTGCGAAAGAAGTCGAACAGCGACTTCTGCGTCAAGCTCGATCCAAACTCTAGTGAATTGCCTCTGAATAACAAATCGCAGCCCCGAGGCAAGGGCAGCAAGCTCGGCCGCAATACTGCTCGGGGCAGAGATCCTCTCGTGAAATGCAACTATGGCCTCAGCGTCCGAACCTCTGATAATCCCGCCAATAGCTGCAATCTGGGTGGATGCTCTACGTGCTCCGTCTGTGTTTAGCTTCACCCAACCCGGATCCGGTGGAAGCCAAACAACTCGATGAGGTGTGAGAGTTGGTGTTCTGACTCGGTAATATAGGCCAAGAGACTCAGCCACGTGGGGAATGCCAGTCCAGCTGTCCGCCGAAAGTAAGTTGGTTTGGTGAAGAATCCTGATGTGCTGGATGACCCTGTAAATGATGGAAGAAGCGCGAACCGTGATATCCTTGTGCTTGCTGTCATTTCTTGCAATCCATAAGTACCACAAGATCAAGCAAGGCACAATGGTCGTGATGTGTGTGTGGTGTGTGAGTGTGTGCGAAGTGAAGTGCTGCCAATAAAGTAAAATCTGGGGTATGTGCGTAGTGTGTGCAGGTGTATAGCCAAAAAGATAGAAAAAATGATGCCATACCCTCTTAGCCGTCGGGCTCTCCACGAAGATATGATCAATCGACTCAACAGAAGGAGACTCGACAGACTGAGATACAAGACTCGACACAGGAATAGATGGATCTGGACAACAATAGCACCTCGAGGCAAGAGAGGTGCCTCGAGACTGAAGTTTGGTATCCACTGGAAGACGCTGAAGAAGGAGACGCCAAAGAAAGATAGAAATTGTAGGAGTAAGACAAGATCCTTAAAATATACGAAGAAGAGGGGTAGGGGTATGCTGCTGTCGTATCAAGGCCCAAGCCGAGGTCAAGGAAAACTTGCCATCCGAAGAAGCTCTCCAAATGGGCAAATCACCCGAAGCACCAGAGATTGGGACCGAGCAAATCCTATCGATCCACTCAAAAGGAATATCCTCAGCTAGCTTGTTTCGATCCCACTGACCGTTAACCAAATAATACTCCACACGAACTGACGTTAGCCGACCACCATCAATAATGCCCGAAAGGGGACCATCGCCAAACCAGTGGTCGTGCCAGAAATAAACATGACCTGGACCAATCCGCCAAAATATTTGAGCTTGAACACGCTCTCGGACACGGCACATGCGCTTCCACACCGTGCTATAGAGTGAAGACACAACGGATGAACCTGGGAACCGATTCCGACAATACTTGTTTCGGAGAAAACGGGCCCAAAGAGAATCCTGAGCACGGAATCGGAACCAGAGCTTGTAAGTGAAGGCGTCAATCACATCCGTCAAACGCCTCAACCCCAAGCCACCCTCACCAACTGGCCGACAAATCGTCTCCCAAGCAACCCAATGAGGCCGGCGCTGATTACCATAAGATCCCCAGAGAAATCGGGCCATGCACTGCTCAATCTGCTGAATAATGTACTGCGGAGGTTGAATAACCTGAACAAGATGCAAAGCCATAGTCGAAAGCGTACTCCGGATCAAGGCAAGACGGCCCCCGAAAGCCAAAGCGGTCCGAGCCCATCCCGAAATCCTGGCTTGCATGCGATCAAGCAAAGTGTGAAACAAACTGCCCCGGTCCCTCCCTTTGTATAGTGGTGCTCCAAGATAAATGATAGGAAGATCCTTTCTCGGATAACTGAGAATCCGAGAAATAGTGCGAAGATGACCATCAGAACATGCCCTATCAACTGTGAAAGTGCTCTTGTGCACACTAATCAACTGACCCGAAGTCCGACAGTAATGATCGAGAAAATCCCGCAGCTTCTTCAGTCCAAAATTATGGCACGAGGTAAATATCATCACATGATCCGCATAGGCCAAAAGGGATATAGGAATGCCTCCCCTTGTAGAATAAAACATGCTTGGGCAACGGCTGTATAGTGCATCGAGACCTCTCGAAAAATACTCAGCCGCAAGTACAAAAAGAGTCGGCGAGAGCGGATCTCCCTGCCTTAGACCACGAGACGAAGTGAAATACCCCGTCAGCTCCCCGTTGATTAGTAAAGAGAACTGGCACGACGAAACACATCGCCGAATAATATCAACCAAGTTCGCCGAGAAACCCATCAGCTCGAGTACACGAAATAAGAACCGCCACTGAACCCTATCATAAGCCTTTGCCATATCCAGCTTCAAAATAAGATTCGGATTTCGACAACGAACTGATATTGAGTGGACCATCTCTTGTGCTAATAAAATATTATCACTAATGAGGCGACCCTGAACAAACCCACTCTGAGAAGGAGAAATAATGTGGGGCAAGTGAGGTGCCAGTCTGTTCGTAAGTACCTTGGTGATAATTTTATTGGTCACGTTGCTCAAGCTAATCGGGCGGAAATCTGTCCAAGCCGTTGGAAAGTCCACCTTTGGAATAAGAACCAAGGTGGTAGCGGTGAAGCTCGCAGGCATAGATCCACCCTCGAAGAAATCCCAAACCGCTTCACAAACATCACACTGAATCAAGTCCCAACAATGCTGATAAAATAGCGAAGAATACCCATCAGGACCCGAAGCACTATCTCGACAAATCCCAAACACCGCATCTTTGATCTCCTCAACTGACGGACGAGTAGAGACTGAAGAAAAGTCCCTTTGAGGAGCGGAAAATAGAGACTCATCAACCGGAAGCAAACTAGGCATATCATCGGTAAGAAGCTTGCTAAAGAAATCAACGCCCGAATCCTTGATCTCCTGAGCTGATGTGAGAACCAAATCACCATGAGAGATAGAGTGGATTCGATTGACACATCGCTTTTTCTTGACTAACGAGTGGAAAAACTTTGAGTTTCTCTCTCCATCAGTCGCCCATCTACAAGCTGCCTTCTGCTTCCAAAAGTCCTCCTCAATATTGAGCATGAGAGTAAGTTCAGCAGTGGCCTTTTTCAAATTTGCACGATTCTCGGGGGATCGATCCAAGTCATATATGTGCTCGGCCTCTAGAACAGCTGCCTCGGCCCTCTCTTTATTCTTGAACACGTCCCCGAAAACGTTCCAATTCCACCACTGAAGCTTCTGTTTCAATCATCTCAACTTCGTATGTAATCGATGCATCCCCGTCTGAGCACACGGAAAATCCCAAACCTGTTCCACAATCTGACGAAACGTAGCGTGGCGGATCCACATATGCTGAAACCGGAATGAAGCAAGAGGCCTAGACGAAGAAGCAGCCGATGAAACCAAAAGAGGAGCATGATCCGACCAGGTCCGTGAGAGGTGGGTACCTGCGTAATAGGCAGTAAATCTAGCCAAGCAGAGTTATATAGAATCCTGTCCAAACGCTCCAAAAGACCTGAAGGGCTCTCCCAAGAATAGCAAGAACTAGCCCCAGAGAACCCGGCATCCAAAAGTTCACAATCCGAAACCATAGCACCAAACTCAGCCATATCTAGTCTCCTATCCGAAACCGATCTATTCCGTTCTGACTCAAGTAAGATTGAGTTGAAGTCACCCCCAGAAATCCAAGGAGTGTCACCAATCGTCTCAAAAATGTCGCGGAACGAATTCCACAAAACACGGCGCTCGGAACGAGAGCATCTAGCATAGACCGCAGTAAATACAAAAGGAGCACCAAATAAACCAGATATGCATCTGACATGCAATAATTGTACCTCATCCCTAAGCAACTCGACTCGAAAATTGTGATCCCAAAAAATCCAGATCTTCCCCGCACAATTAGACAAACCAGCAACGAAACCCAAGCGACGGCAATAGTAATCATGCACAAACTCAGTCATAGGTTCAGAAATAACCAATAAATTTACTCTATGTTGGCGACAAATAAAGCGCAAGTGGGATTGGGTCGCCTTATTTTTTACCCCCCTTGCATTCCAAACCAAGAATTTACCCGACATCAAGAAGAGGGGGAATGCGACCCATCTAAAGATTTCCGAGATGTGACAAAGAATGAGTTACCAATAAGGTGGGCCTCCTCCGCATGCCAACGTTCGGCATTCTGCAAACGCCAACGCTCAGCATCAATTAGGCTCGATCGCCACGAGGCCGAAGGTTCATCAGTGATAGAGCCCGGAGTAGCGTGATCAGCTGGGCGTATGCTCGTGGCTGGGCTCACGGGCTCATAAGGGATCATGGCAAGGTGATTGAAAGGAGGCGTGACGGCCAAATTTTGATCGGCCGTGGGCCGGACCTTGGTCACATAGTGTTCGCAAAATAAGGCAACCGACGTAGGTGTAATCGGATCTGTACCCGCCGAAAGTCCTGACCCCTCTCGTCCGTGTACCCCATGATTAAGGGAAACATCCTTGGCCTCCGAAGTGGCTGAAGGTGATAGAGAGGGGGTTGAGAGGGCTGCCCCCTTTGCGGTTCGGGAGCTAGAAGCTTGATTTCTGTTCTTTTTGGAGGGAGACACATGCTGATTTTTTTTGGACATGGATAAGGCCTCCATATCATCTAAATCAGCTGCTTGATCATCGGCAATAGTATCTATAGGGTCTGGACTCATCGGTTGTTTGGTGTTAGAAGTATTTTTTCGGCCCTTTTTCGAAGATTTTGGAACATGTTTGGAAGCAACATCCGGTTGAATATGAGCAGCCTCTATATCCTCTTGAACCCCACTCTCCAACAATTCAAAGGCGTTGTAATGCTCAAAATCTCCTTCACTAATATTATCGGCAGTAGTCCGCACAATAGCTTGAGAAAAACTAGGATTTTCAGTTGATTTTGTCCCCGATGTTTTTCAATATCCATGTTTTCAACAACAACATTTTTCCTCTTTTCAACTCGTCGCCAAACTTGTTTTTCCTTTGGTGGGGCTGTGGGTTTGGGAATCCGTTGTGGCGGTGGTGGAAAATCCGGTTTTTTAGCATTTCCATTCATATAACAATTTTCAACCGAGTGACCCAGGTGAGAACAAAACGTGCAGAATTTTGGGACGTTCTCGTAGTTTACCGGCAAGGAAATCATCTCAATATCATCATAGCCAGTCATCACCGGAATTTGTTCAACCCTCGGTTTCAAGAGATCAATTTCGACGCAAAATCGAGCAACAGATAGCTTCTTTCGATCGGCTGTAAAATCATCAAACTCAAGTGGATTTCCAATAGAAGAAGCAAGGAAGAATATAGCTTCCCGGTTGAACATATAAGGAGGAACTCCCGGCACATTAACCCAGACCGGCGCTATAGAAGTTTCGTTTTTCAAATTAAAGCCCGGAGTATATTTAAAAACACGCATGGGCAGCCCATCAATATAGCATATCGATCTTCTCAAAAGCAAAGAATAATCATCTAATACCGAGAATTGAATCAACACATGCCGATAATTCAATTTATGCAACTCAAAGGAACCGCGGGGCTTTAAATCGTAAATAAACTTCTCCATAACTTTGTAGTGAGGTATCCCATGAGAAAACTTACCAATCAAGGTGTACTTTAACGGCTCAAGCATCTTATCAACCTCCTCTTTCGAGAAATAGAGCACATTCTTGCCATCTATCACTTTAATTGTCCCAATTGGAGCGATATCTTCTCGGTGGAGCAAGTGACGACGACGATCAACCTTAGAAGAAGCAATTGGAGGTCCGAGATCACCGTGTACAGCAGCAGCAAAGGATTTGGTTGGGAATTGGAATTTTGGGGTTTGAATTTCGGGATTAGGGGTTTCAATTTCGGGATTGGGGTTTTTTAATTGGGGATTTTGGGTTTGGAATTGGGAATTCGGATTATGATTGTCCAATTTAGAAATAGGGATAGAAATATCATTTTTAGTGTTTGAATTGGACATAAAACCAGCTTGGGCCACAAGATTGGGGTTTAGGTGGTCCGTTTTAGGGTTTTGGGCTCGGATTTGAGTAATATTATCGTGAGCCGGTTTTAGAGTGGAAGATAGGCCTTTCTTAGGAGAGTTAGGGGCTGAGATGGGCTTAGGGACCGGTAGTTTGAGGCTAGAAAAATCCTCATAGGATGGTGATTTGGCAAGTGGTGTAAACTTGGCGAATTGTGGTTGGCTGAGGTGAGGAGTTCTAGCCAAGTCAAGGGGTGAGGTGGAACGGGCGGGAAAATTGGTTGGTGAAATTTGAATTGTGGCGACCTTGCCTTGTGTAGAAGATTCAGCTTCCACAATCAAGGAAGATTGATTGGTGAAATCTTCCATAATTACCACGTCCGAAAAGGAAGGTCCTGATTTAGAATGATCTTGATTTGCTGCACTAATTAAAGGAGGAACCAAGACAAGATGAGAGTCTAGATTCATGCGGGGCACAAGCAGCAGCTACCCACTCGAAGATCTCCACCGAGAGAAGGCGGAGATATGACGGAGACACGAAAAACCGATGACAAGACACGAAACAAAATGAGGACGAAACAAACCTCCACTAAAACTGAAATTAAAGAAGCAGAACGAGCAAAAAACGCCCAAGAATGGAAGCAAAAACGAGGCTGAGATCACAAGGAATGAAAGCAGCCCTAAAACCGAATGAAATGAAGGAGAAACAACCAAAAAACGACACAAAAACACAAGAATACGGCTGACCCAAACACAAACACGAAAAAAACAAAGAACACTACCAAATTTTGAGAAAATTATATGCAAAGAGCACGAAAACCTCAAAACCGATGGATAATTGAACTAAAATGACAATAAGAAACGATGATCAACTAACCAGAATGAATGAAATGAAAAACGAATATATGAATGGCTAAAATCGATCAAAATCTTCGTAGGAAAGACACAACTTTCTAGAGAGAAGGCAGAGCGTTTTTTCTAGAGAGAGAAACATTTTTTGCTTATTGTAGCCAGCTAAAATAGCTTTCTAATGCCGCCGAAACCAGTTGATTTGGAGTCCGGATGAGAAAGTTATGCTCGACTTCGTGGACGTACACTACCAAAGATGTTGAGGGATTCTCTCTTCTAATTTGATTTTATTTTCCTAATTGCAACTCTTTTCTTTCTCTTTGATCATTTTTGCTTCCTGGACACCTAATTTTCGATTTGTACCTATAAGATACCAAATCCACCAATTCAAACAGAAAATAAATTAATCCAAAAAAAAAATCCACGTAAACGTAAACGTAGAGTTTTATTTCTACACTCCACTGTATCTATTTGATCTACTGTTTTTGCTGTTGTTTGTTGATGCGTATTAAAGTCCTAGTATTGTAGTTCGTGTTTTGAAGAACGTTGTTGCGAATGCACTTTTGCGCATGTTTTTTTACATGTACGTTTGTGCATGTCCATTTGAGCGAGTGTGCTTGTGCATGTTTGTTGATTTGTATTAATGTCCTAGGATTGTAGTTTGTGTTTTCATGATCTTTTTTGCGAATGCACTTTTGCGTTAGTACTTTTGTGCATGCCTTTGTATACTTACTTATGTGCGTATCTTTCTAGCGACAGTTTTTGTGCACGTTTCTCGATGCGCATTCATATCCTCGAACTGTAGTACGTATTTACATGATTGCTTTTGGAATCCAATTTTGACCATGTTCGAGTCCGAATTTGGATTTTTCACGTTAGACAGGACTTGTGGCCAGCTGAAATATCTTTCTAATGCCGCCGGAACCAGTTGATTTGGAGTCCGGATGAGAAAGTTATGCTCGACTTCGTGGACGTACACTACCAAAGATGTTGAGGGATTCTCTCTTCTAATTTGATTTTATTTTCCTAATTGCAACTCTTTTCTTTCTCTTTGATCATTTTTGCTTCCTGGACACCTTATTTTCGATTTGTACCTATAAGATACCAAATCCACCAATTCAAACAGAAAATAAATTAATCCAAAAAAAAAATCCACGTAAACGTAAACGTAGAGTTTTATTTCTACACTCCACTGTATCTATTTGATCTAGTGTTTTTGCTGTTGTTTGTTGATGCGTATTAAAGACCTAGTACTGTAGTTCGTGTTTTGAAGAACGTTGTTGCGAATGCACTTTTGCACATGTTTTTTTACATGTACGTTTGTGCATGTCCATTTGAGCGAGTGTGCTTGTGCAAGTTTGTTGATTTGTATTAATGTCCTAGGATTGTAGTTTGTGTTTTCATGATCCTTTTGCGAATGCACTTTTGCGTGAGTACTTTTGTGCATGCCTTTGTATACTTACTTATGTGCGTTTCTTTCTAGCGACAGTTTTCATGCAAGTTTCTCGATGCGCATTCATGTCCTCGAACTGTAGTACGTATTTTTATGATCGCTTTTGGAATGCAATTTTGACCTTGTTCGAGTCCAAATTTGGATTTTTCACGTTAGACAGGAATTGTAGCCAGCTGAAATAGCTTTCTAATGCCGCCGAAAGTAGGTTATTTGGAGTCCAGATGAGAAACTTATGCCCGACTTCGTGGAGGTACACTACCAAAGATGTTGAGGGATTCTCTCTTCTAATTTGATTTTATTTTCCTAATTGCAACTCTTTTCTTTCTCTTTGATCATTTTTGCTTCCTGGACACCAAATTTTCTATTTGTACCTATAAGATACCAAATCCACCAATTCAAACAGAAAATAAATTAATCCAAAAAAAAAATCCACGTAAACGTAAACGTAGAGTTTTATTTCTACACTCCACTGTATCTATTTGATCTAGTGTTTTTGCTGTTGTTTGTTGATGCGTATTAAAGTCCTAGTATTTTAGTTCGTGTTTTGAAGAACTTTGTTGCGAATGCACTTTTGCGCATGTTTTTTTACATGTACATTTGTGCATGTCCATTTGAGCGAGTGTGCTTGTGCATGTTTGTTGATTTGTATTAATGTCCTAGGATTGTAGTTTGTGTTTTCATGATCTTTTTTGC